GATGCTGCTCAACTGTCTTTCAATTCACAAAAGAGCTCTAGGTACCACAAAAGCGCTTTTGAAATTGTTACCGGACAGCAACCGCTACTCCCACACACTGTGAATGCACCAAACATGGCTAAATCTCCTCGAGCTGCCAGCTTCTCAAAAGAGTGGAGGCGGAATTTGGAGATAGTGCGGAGCTATCTTGTCAAAGCCCAAAAGCGGATGAAGAGGCATGCTGATCAGAATTGTCGCTTTGTTGAATATCAAGTAGGAGACAAAGTGATGGTCAAAATTCCAAAGCGGTACTTATTTGCAGGGGTCCATGACCCTCGCCTATTGCAAAAATACATTGGACCCTTGTCCATTGAAAAGCGTATTGGGAAGGTTGCATACCGGGTGGATACCCCAGCTTGGTGGAAAATTCATCCTGTCTTCCATGTCAGTCTCCTGAAACCTTTTCAGGAAGACACGGAGGATCCTTCAAGGAGCCAGCTCACAATGCCCAGTATTCGAGGTCCCAATTCAACCGGGAAAGGCGTGTTGAAGCTATCCTTGATGACAGAGTGATTCATGCCTCAAGGAAAGATCACCAAGAGTTTTTGGTGAAATGGCAGGGCTGTGATGCAGAAGAGAATACTTGGGAGAGGGGAACAAACCTCAAAGCCTACAAAAGCCTCATTGAAGATTATTTTGCAAGTAAGGCGCCGAGGACGTCGCCAACTCAGGTGGGGGAGAATGTCATGGGCGGCTTTCCAGCCATGCCCCATGACCCCTTGGGCGCGCCCCGTGGCGTCCTAGCAAACCTCCCAATGCCTAGCGCCACGGACGGCCCCGTGGTCTTGGCCGCGCCAAGTGACAAGCGCGCAGGTGCCTCTGTCGCCCCAACGATATCCCTCGCGAGCGCCAAGCCGTAGGCAGAAGCCAACAGCGCCGCGCGCGCAGACAACGCCGCGCGCGCAGACAACGCCGCGCGCGCAGACCGTGATACCAAAGACACTGCCGCTGACAACGGACCTGCTGCTGCCTTATAGAAAACTAAGTCATTTTCATTGTAAATATAGAGTAGTTTTATTTCATGTACTTCTATTATGTTTCTCTAGCTTAGTCAAGTCTAGTCTTGTAGTTTTGGATTATTTTTTTTAAGCATTATTAGGGAGAATCAAGCAATCAAACTTTCTAGCAAGCAATCAATTCTCTATGCTGGTGTCTCTCCCCCTCGACACCGCGTTGCTTTTCTTTAATAGCTTTCATTAATGCAATCAAGCTTTCTTTCATTCTCAATTCTCATTTCTGCTCTCTCAATTGCTCTTGACATTGGTTTTCCCGTACGGTACCGTTATCTTGTTGATTGCTCTACAATCCACGCACATCCTCCAAGTTCCATCCTTTTTGGGTACCAATAGGACGGGAACGGAGCAAGGGCTCATGCTCTATCTCACAAAACCTTTCTCAAGAAACTCCTCAACTTGCCTTTGAAGCTCTTTTGTCTCTTCTGGATTACTCCTATAAGCAGGCCTATNGAGTATCAAAGAGCTCACCAATATCCTTAGCCCCACGGTGGGCGCCAAACTGTTTACCCTCGAATCCGGATAACAATTGAATTTATATGGGGTTTTAAGGATCCGTGAACTAAAAGATACAAAAGGTTTTTAGGTTAAGGAAAATAAAGATAAAGACTCAACAATTGCCGTTAAAGTAAATAATCGCAGAATATAATATTGCTTAGAACAATTGTGCTTGATGATCCACAAGAATTTAGAGAGATCCCCTTTTATACATTCTGATTAAGGGTAAAAATAAGGTAGGTAAATTGATTACATCGTGGATCCCTGTAATTACGCCTTAATGGCCTGAAGTGGTTGAGAAAATCACGTTTGGGCGAGATATCCGGCGACGCTTGGTTATCCGTTACGAGTCCGGCTTCCGACCTTGTGTGTTTCTCCATCCGGTGGTGACTCCTATCGAGCTCTGTAACGGTCTCGAAATGACTCGACCTCGGTTGTAGACGTGGCCGTCGTTCTACCTTGCATCCAGGTCGGGTTCGATGGCCCCGATTTGCTCCGGACCGGACCCAACCCGGTCGGGCTCAAGCAAAAAAAAAAAAAAAAAAAAAGGGTATCACCCAATACACTAGTATTATGAATAAGGTAGGTCATAAATTTTCAATAGTTAACTATTTTGTCCTTTGCTTTTTGTTTGGTGGGAATAACTAAAGCATGACACTTTCTGGTTGGGTTTTCATGATATCAGTTGGATTCAATGCAGCAGCAAGGTCAGTTTTCGCTGTAACTTATCTTTTTCGCGTTGTTCATTTCTCCTTTAGATATTTTATAAGGATATGGATTGAAAAGAATTTATCTTTTTTATTTGCTTTAATGTGACATGCTGATGAACAGTGTAAGAGTGAGCAATGAACTAGGAGCAAGGCATCCAAAATCAGCAGCTTTTTCTGTTGTTGTGGTTACGTCGTGTTCTTTCATTCTCTCAGTGATTGCTGCAGTCATCGTTCTTGCATTGCGTAATCTCATCAGTTATGCCTTCACTGGTGGTGAAGTCGTGGCTGCAGCTGTCTCCGATCTTTGTCCATTGCTTGCGATTTCCCTCATTCTCAATGGAATTCAACCCGTCTTGTCAGGTATGGATTTAGCATCTTATCTTCGCGGCCAAGTCTTTGATTCTCCTAGCTAGTTTGATTACCGAAAACAGATCAGCTTGTGTTTGTTGTCTGGATATAACATTGTCATTTAAGTTCCTATATGATCCCTTTAAATTCACTATACGAATTGTGATCGGATCTATTTCAGGTGTGGCTGTTGGCTGTGGATGGCAAACATTTGTGGCCTATGTAAATGTGGGCTGCTATTACATTGTTGGAGTTCCATTGGGTGCTCTTCTCGGCTTTCACTTCAAACTTGGCGCGAAGGTAATCACAATATATTCCATTAACATTCTCAAAACCAAATATCTAGATCAATCTATTTGTATTAAAGGAAAAATGGGTATATTATCTGGTGGATACAGGGTATATGGTCAGGAATGCTGGGAGGTACAGTGATGCAAACAATCATCTTGATATGGATCACTGCTCGAACCGATTGGAATAAAGAGGTAAACAATATCTCTTTACTTTTTCTAATGCTTGTAGTTAACCAGGTAGAAATAGACATCATTCTTTCTAATGTACCATTCGGAAACAGCCTCTCTTCCTTCCTAGGGTAGAGGTAAGGTCTGTCTACACACTACCCTTCCCAGACCCCACTTGTAGCATTTCACTAGGTTGTTGATAAGTCGTCTTTTTACCAATCTATCATAGATCATTTCTGCAAAAAAATTGGTTTAACTAATAAACCAAGTTAAGATTTAAGTTAGTCATAATATCCTGAATATGTCGCACCATTCTTGAAAAGGATCTCTGCTTCTACTACCAGTGATGCCATAAATCGGAGGAATTTGGTCTTACTGCAAAAAATTATTACGCGAGCATTCTTTCCTTAAGCTAAACGTGAATTACGAGTAGAAGCAGATCTAGAACATGTTCAATGAGTTCAACTTAACCTGTTGTTTTCGGCTTGTTCCATAAGCACATACGCAAAAAAAATTATACTTGTTTTTGTGTGTGCGTGTGTGATTATGAATCCACTGACTATAAATTCTGTATTCACCTGGTGGTTGCAGGTGGAATCAGCTCTGTATAGGTTGAAAAAGTGGGATGACAAGAAAGAATCAATTCTAGAGGAATAGAAAAAACTGGACAAAGAGGAGATTCATACCAAAGGGTTGTTAATGTTCTCTCACAAATGGGGTTTAGAGAGCTTAATGATTCAAGAATAATTTGAATGAAAATGACCAAGAAAATTATGAAATTGACATAGAAAAGGTACAATTAGCAGGAGAAAATCATGAACTTGACATAGTGTAATATCTCCAACGCATTTATGCTCATACTTTTCAATAATTTTTTGAGAATGAAGGCATCTTTATAATCCTTGCTGCTTCTTTTTCCCAAAATTAATTGAATTTATCGAATTGATATGTCTTAAGTTGAGACCCTCAACGGTATTAATACCAAAAATTGCAACGTCTCAAGAAAACCAAACTAGGGTCCTCTTTATAGGATCCAAAAGTAAATACAAGCCAATGGTCCATAGTTTAAATAAACTACAAGAAATAATTTTGTTAATCAAGAAATGTATTTAGTCAAATTTAACAAATGCATTTATAAACAAGCAATGTATGAGTATTGTCATGGGCGGCTTTCCAGCCATACCCCATGACCCCTTGGGCGCGCCCCGTGGCGTCCTAGCAAGTCTCCCAATGCCTAGCGCCACGGACGACCCCGTGGTCTTGGCCGCGCCAAGTGACAAGCGCGCAGGTGCCTTTGTCGTCCCACCGATATCCCTCGCCAGCGCCAAGTTGCAGGAAGATGCCAACAGCATTGCGCGCGCAGACAACGCCGCGCGCGCAGACCGTGATACCAAAGACACTGCCGCTGACAACGGACCTGCTGCTGCCTTATAGAAAACTAAGTCATTTTCATTGTAAATATAGAGTAGTTTTATTTCATGTACTTCTATTATGTTTCTCTAGCTTAGTCAAGTCTAGTCTTGTAGTTTTGGATTATTTTTTTTAAGCATTATTAGGGAGAATCAAGCAATCAAACTTTCTAGCAAGCAATCAATTCTCTATGCTGGTGTCTCTCCCCCTCGACACCGCGTTGCTTTTCTTTAATAGCTTTCATTAATGCAATCAAGCTTTCTTTCATTCTCAATTCTCATTTCTGCTCTCTCAATTGCTCTTGACATTGGTTTTCCCGTACGGCACTGACAATCTAGTCTAGCGTACGGAGGGGACCTCAGTTGGCGGACAGTAACTGTACTGACATCAGTTGCTTAGCCTTACGTCGCCCTTCCGAGGAATCTCAGGAAGGCGCCGCGTAACAGTTGGTATCAGAGCCTAGGCTCGACATCGGACGAGGGAACGCATTGACATTACCACCATTTCTGACCATGGTGAATCATGGGGACCGTATTGCGGCCCTTGAAGAAACAGTTGAGGTATTACGACCCATCGTGGATACGGTGCCTGAACTAAGAACCAGCCTAGCGCAAAGGTTGGACGACCTGGACTGCAGAGTACTCCAGGCCGAAGCTGACATAGAAAACATCAGTCGCGACTCCGAGGGAGACCAGCAGACAGCAGCCACAGAGGCAGCCGAAATTTTTGATAAATTCGAGGGACTCCAACAAGAGCGCACCGAGGATTTAGCCTACAGGGCACAAGAGGCAGATAGGGTGACTGCCATGCAACAAAGTATTGACAAATTGACAGACGAGCTCAATGTTGTCAATGCTGCTTTACAGGGCCTACTTCGAGGAGGTGGAAACCAAATCGGGGGCGCTGTGAACCCCGCTTCCGCGACACAAAAACTGAAAATTCCTGAGCCAAAGCCATACAGTGAAGCTAGGAATGCCAAGGAAGTGGAGAACTTCATCTTTGACGCCGAACAATATTTCGATGTTGTTGGGGGCCTGGAGGAAGCTAAGAAGGTAGCAACTGCTACCATGTATCTTCAGGGTGATGCTAAACTCTGGTGGCGGGTGAAGTACGAAGCCATCAGGGCCGGTNGCCGTGCGGGCGACATAGACAATGTCAAACTCAGTGAGCGGGATTTGCCATTTTTCTAGCCTTTCTGTGGTCATCGATTTTTGGAATATGTACTTCAAAGGATCTAATCTGGTTATCAGATAGGTGGTATAAGCCAACAAGTAATGCCTAAGCTTCTGAGCGACCTAAGTTAGGGCGCAGCAAGTTCTTTCCAACAAAGTGTACTTCGCTTCATAACTAGTGAACTTCTTGTTCAAGTAGTATATGGCTTGTTCTTTTTTCCCGGTCGCATCATGTTGCCCGAGAACACATCCAAAAGAATTCTCCAACACTGTCAAGTACAATAACAAAGGCCTTCCAAGCTCGGGTGGGACCAACACCGGCGGATTTGACAGATGTTCTTTGATTTTGTCGAAAGCTTCTTGACACTCATCTGTCCATCTAATTGCCGCATCTTTCTTCAATAGTTTGAATATGGGCTCGCAGGTGGTAGTCAGCTACGCAATGAATCTGCTGATGTATACTCACCTCCCCAGCCAGTGGGTGGAATAGCTAAAGAGGTACCGGTGAAGCTTGGCCCTTACGAAGGAAAATTCAACCTGCGAGTGGTGATCATAGATGACTTTGAGCTGATAGTTGGGCTGGAATTCCTAAGGCAAACCAACACCATGCCTGTACCATTTGCAGACATGCTACTGATGATGGGAACCAATAGGGCCAAGCCCTGCATTATCCCGTGCATACCCATGAAGATGGCCGTTGAGAACATCTCGGTCTTGCAGTTGAAGAAGGGGGTCAAAAGGAATGAACCTACGTTCCTGGCAACCCTCTGCATTGAAGATATAGAACGCTCCTCGGATCCCATTCCTAAGCCCGTGAAGGAGCTACTACTGGAGTTTGAAGATGTCATGCCACAAGACATACCAAAGCGGCTCCCGCCTAGGCGCATTGTGGACCATGAAATTGAATTGGTGCCGGGCGCGAAGCCACCTGCCCGGGCGCCTTACAGAATGTCACAATCCGAACTCACCGAGCTTCGGAGACAATTGACGGAAATGCTAGATACAGGGATCATTGTACCCTCCAAGTCCCCATATGGGTCCCCTGTTCTATTCCAAAAGAAACATGATGGCAGCCTGCGACTCTGTGTGGATTATCGAGCTCTAAACAAAATCAGCGTGAAGAACAAGTACCCTATCCCTCTAATGGCAGACTTTTTCGATAGACTGGGTGGTGCGACAGTGTTTACCAAGATAGACCTCAAGATAGGTTACTGGCAAGTTCGGATCGCAGAGGGTGATGAACACAAGACGACCTGTGTGACAAGATATGGGTCGTACGACTTCCTGGTCATGCCGTTCGGCTTGACTAACGCTCCAGCTACATTTTGCACTCTGATGAACCAAGTCTTCCGAGAGTACATTGACGAATTCGTGGTGGTCTACTTGGATGACATTGTGGTATATAGCCAAACATTGGAAGAACACCTAGTGCACTTGCGGAAGGTCCTAGCTCGTTTGCGGGAGCATGAACTCTATGCGAAGCTATCCAAGTGCTCTTTCTTAAATCAAATTGACTTCCTCGGACATGTCATCGAGGAAGGGCGCATCAAGATGGACCAACAGAAGATTCAAGCCATCACAGATTGGCCGCCGCCTAAGGATGTCCACGCCTTGAGGGCGTTCCTTGGCCTATGCAACTTCTACCGGCGGTTTGTGAAGAACTACTCCCTTATCGCAGTGCCATTGACAGAACTCCTCAAGAAGGTCACACCCTGGGATTGGGTACCGAGGAGAGCGGAGGCCTTCAACGCATTAAAAGCAGCTATGTCTAGTAGCCCGTCTTGGCTCTCCCTGATTTGGCCAAGCCATTCGAGGTACAAACGGATGCATCTAACTATGCCCTTGGCGGAGTCTTGCTACAAGAAGGGCACCCTGTAGCGTACGAGAGTCAGAAGCTGAAGGATGCAGAGCGGCGCTATGCCGCCCATGAGAAAGAATTATTGGTTGTCATCCACTTCTTGCGCCTTTGGAGGCAGTATCTGCTGGGGACCCCGTTCGTGGTCAAGACAGACAACACAGCTATCAGCCATTTCATGACCCAGCCGAAGCTGAATGGTCGGCAGGCCAGGTGGCAGGAACTCCTAGCTGAATTCCACTTCAACCTGGAGTACCGCAGTGGAAAGACCAATCATGTTGCTGATGCACTCAGCCGGAGAGCTGATCTAGCATCGGTGTGCCTACTCGCCACCCTAAGGGGGAGCGAAGTAGCCACCTCCATCAAGGACCAGATACAGGATCTACTCATCAAGGATCCTGCTGCTCAGTATTTGGTTGATTTGGTAGGACAGGGCAAGACTCGCCAGTTCTACATGGAAGATGGTTTTCTGAAAGCCAAAGGGAACCGACTTTATGTTTCGAAAGGAGGAGATCTGCGAAGGACTCTTCTAGCGGAATGTCATGATACTGTGGGCCAGCCATCCCGGTGAAGAACGCACCATGGCGTTACTTCGTCGTGCCTATCATTAGCCTCAAATGGCCGATGATGTCGCTCAGTATGTGAAAACTTGTCTAGTATGCCAGAAGGACAAGTCGGACCGCTTGACACAAGCGGGACTCTTGGAACCACTAGCTGTCCCAAAGAGACCTTGGGAAAGAGTTTTCCTGGATTTCATCACTGGATTGCCCAAGGTCGGAGATCTCACAACTATCTTGGTTGTGGTGGACCGATTTTCCAAGTATGCCACCTTTATTGCAGCCCCACAATATATATCAGCAGAAGATACAGCTCGACTCTTCTTCTCTCATGTCGTCAAATATTGGGGCCTGCCCAAAGACATTGTAGTGATCGCGACTCACGCTTCACTAGCAACTTTTGGACCCAACTCTTTAAGTGCCTTGGGTCAAAATTGAGTCACAGCTCAAGTTTTCATCCGCAATCTGATGGCCAGACGGAGCGGTTCAATGGTATGTTGGAGGAATATCTCCGCCACTTTGTAACCGGATCGCAGAAGAATTGGGTGAAGCTTTTGGATGCTGCTCAACTGTGTTTCAATTCACAAAGAGCTCTAGTACAAACAAAAGCGCTTTTGAAATTGTTACCGGACAACAACCGCTACTCCCACACACTGTGAATGAACCAAACACGGCTAAATCTCCTCGAGCTGCTAGCTTCTCAAAAGAGTGGAAGCGGAATTTGGAGATAGTGCGGAGTATCTTGTCAAAGCTCAAAAGCGGATGAAGAGGCATGCTGATCAGAATCGTTGCTTTGTTGAATATCAAGTAGGAGACAAAGTGATGGTCAAAATCCCAAAGCGGTACTTATTTGCGGGGGTCCATGACCCTCGCCTATTGCAAAAATACATGGACCCTTGTCCATTAAAA